TTCTACAAAGCTTATCGTGTAAAAAAGGTCTTCTCAAAAGACTGGAAAATCAGGTCTTTCTCATCCAATCTCGATAAGACGATAAGTAAAGGAAAGTGGACTGTAGGTACCATCTTCAACTGTGCTGACGTGTTTGCATTGGTAAAAGCGTGTGCAGCCTGGGCCCTAGTCCAGAATGGGAAGTAAGGTACACCCAGGTGCTCACTATTTACTTTGGCCCCCTCCCCCACCCCCACTCCTGAGGACTGATCCACACAGGACAGCTTGTAGGGGTTAGTTATCACTTTCCAGGCTTGGTGGCAAAAGCCTTTATCCTGAGCCATCTTGATGGCCATATGTTGACACTTTACTACTCACTGGACAAGATAGTCTTGTTCCTACAAATTCTGTCCATCTTCTTTTGTCCCTCCCTTGATCAAACTAACAGTGGCTATCGTTTTAGTTCATATTATCCTATCTCTGTATGGTAGAGGGGGAGGGGAGGATGCATGCAGCTAAGGGGTATGTATGTACAGGCTGGTCAGGATGCCCTTCATGTCTTGCATTCCAGCTGACCTTCGGATTCTGGTGAGGTGGAAATATTTCGGAATATCTTAAGTTCCTGAAGAGTTGTGTGGAAGTAGTGTGTTTGCTGTGGCCCAGGAGCTGCGATCAGTGAGGTGAGATAGAGGAGACAGAGCTGAAAACATGGCTCAGAGGGTAAAAACGCTCCCCTCAAAAGCCTGACAGTTTGAGCTCGATCCTGAGAACCTACAGGGGAACCAATTCCTGAAAGTTTTCTGGCTTCACGTGCACTCTCCCTAATGGACACACGCACATGTGCACAAACATAATAAAATTAGATTTATTTAAGAAGTAAGAAGCTGGGTTTAGTAGCACATAAATTAATCACAGCGCTCTGGAGGCAGAAGCAGGCAGATCTCTGTGAATTAGAGGCCAGCCTGGTCTCCATGGTGAGTTACAGGCCAGCCAAAGCTACCTAGCAAAGCCTTGTCTCAGTAATAATAACATAAAAGAGAAAGAGATGAGAGATATAAAACTTAGGCTTGGAGGCAGTTCAGACAACATAACTAAATCCGTAGACCCTTAAGAGGCTTAGTTCCCACTGGTTGGATGTAAAGAAGTGTGTCACAAGAGAGGGTGGTGTAATTTCCACAAGTGACACTGTGGATGCCCATCTCCAGTAGTCTGGGCTACAGCTGACTGTTCAGCAGGAAGGGAAGGACGTCCTTAATTGGCTGACTCCACCGGCAGGCGCAGCCAGTTTGAGGGAGAGCTGACAGGATTGAGTGGATTGTTATGAATATGTAAGAGTGGGGAACCCCCAAGCTGGCCAGGCCAGGGTATCCCACGTGTGAGGGAAACATGCTGGGCAGATGTGGGGGTGGGGGTGGAAAGTCCTTCACACCCAGGCCCTGCATCCACGTGCAGAGTTTATTAGAATAGATGAAGAGAAAAACAGGAAAGAGAGGGACAAGGAAGAAAGAGAAGGCAGAGGAAGCGGAGGTGTGCATGCCTCCTGGTTGGAAGAGAGAGGAAGGAGAGGGATTTTTCCTTAAAATGAGGCTTTCAGGTCAGGACGCAGGGCGGGGAAAAGGGGTGGGATTTCAAAGGGCGGGTCAGAATATTAACATGGGTGACTTCAGTTTGTTTTTTATAAAAGTTTATGACTTCTTTTTTTTTTTTTTTTTTTTTTGGTTTTTTGAGACAGGGTTTCTCTGTGTAGCTTTGGAGCCTGTCCTGGATCTCGCTCTGTAGCCCAGGCTGGCCACGAACTCATAGAGATCCTCCTGCCTCTGCCTCCCGAGTGTACACCACCACTGCCCGGCAAAAGTTTTTGACTTTAAGTTTTTTTTCCCCCCAAGACAGGATCCCACATACCCCAGGCTGGCCTCAAATTCACTTTGCAGCTAAGGATGACCTTGAATTTCCAATCCTCTGCCTTCACCTCCTAAATCTTGGTGCTGAGCTACATCCCCAGCCAGAAGCTCCCTTCTCTCTTTCTTTCTTTCTTTCTTTCTTTCTTTCTTTCTTTCTTTCTTTCTTTCTTTCTTTCTTTCTTTCTTTCTTTCTTTCTTTCCTTCCTTCCTTCCTTCTTTCTTTCTTTTTTTTCTTTCTTTCTTTTATTCATTCATTCGTTCATTCATTCATTTATACATACATTTGTATATTTAGAGACAGGGTTTTCCCGTGTTACCCTTGCTGTCCTGGAACTCACTCTGTAGACCAAGTTGGCCTCGAACTCACAGAGATCCACCTGCCTCTGCCTCCTGAGTTGGGATTAAAGGCGTGTACTACCCCCCACCTGGCTATTATCATTTTGAGACAAGACCTCACCATGTAGCCCAGGCTGACCTCAATCTCCCCTTCCTCCTGTTTCAGTCTCAAGGGCTGTGATGACATGCGTGTACCACATGCCCTGCTTTCTCTTTATTGTTAGCATTCCTGTCTTCAGCAGAACCAGCATATGTGACTTTTTTGTTAGGGGCAATGACAGGCGCGGCGGAAGCTCTTACCTGAATGTTCCTTCATCCGTGAGTCCCTAGCCTTATGTCCTTAGCCATATGCCTCCACTTCAGAACTGGCAGCCCCATTCAGCCCAATTCTTTGAAGTCAAAGATTTTCTTTTTGGAGGGGTCGGGGTGGTGCAGAATTTGAAATTAACCTATACATCCTGGATTTTAACCTTCTTGAATTACGTGGACTAACATTGATGTTTAAATATTTCTGGACAATTTTTAATAGCTTGGTTAGTCTTGTGGGAAGATGGATGCAGGAATCTAAGCAGCAACTGGTCTAATGTCACAGTGACTTTGGATCTTCCCGTGTGTTCAGTTGGAAGATAGCCTTGGCCTCCTTCCCCGCCCCCATTCCAAACCCCGCCCTTCTCAGAAAGCCGGCCTGGCAGCGGCTCCTTCCCTGAACTGCTCAAGACCACACCTACATGGAATTTAAGCTCGGGTCCCTAGACTAGCCATATGATTTCTCCTCCTCCCTCCCTCCCCCACCTCACTTCTGAGGGGCTTGAGAGTCACCCGGGGGCGCTTTGCTCATTAAACCTGGACTTTTAATTTGTCTTGATCTGGCTTATTGCACCGGCGGAGAAACCTGCTACCAGGGATCCAAAAATACTTACCACTGAGAAAGTCATTACAACTGCAGATTGTCCTCTAGCGATTCAAGTGTCCAAGCCTGACTGCATAATTTCAGTGACAGATGCCTTGGGCTCCTCTTGAATGTGCTCCCCAGACGTCCAGAGTACGGTGGCAGCGAGATGTGCAATCATTTGATAAAAACAAGTACCTACCAATTAACCCTCCCA